GAATCATTATTTGAAACACTCTAATTTTAATTAATATTAAATGTCGAGCATAATAGGCAATAAGCTGATTAGTTATGGACGCAGAAATCGATTATCGAAATTACAGAGGCGGTAACGGAACAACCGCAAAAACCGATCTTATAGCTTTAAATCGGATTTTCCAAAAATATCATCTGTGGGCGAACATATACCTAATGAAAAACTAATGAGATTGTATTATTTTGTAATAAGTTGGAATGCACACAAATAGACATATACCTACTCGTAATTGTAAGTAGGTATATTTAGCTTTAGTACTATTTTTTTCTTTCTTATACTATCTAGTAATTTTAGCGCAGATACCTAAATATAAATATAATTATAAAGGTTTTCAAATATTGAGCAATTTTATTACAAAAATACAGTGACCTACATTAAAATCCAAATAATAGTTCCAAAATAAAAAAAGGAAGTTTTATTTTACAGCGAAGTCGTAAATAGGAGTTCTAACTAAAGGGTAACGCATGGCAAATACAGATGTCAAATTTTATCAGTTTTGAAGAAGCCGATTTTAACTAATTTAGGAAAAGCTGCATCTACTTTTGAATTAAAACTGAACAGGTAACAAGGGAAAACCAGGCAAATGCCAACGTAACTTAAGTTGTCAACCTATATTTTGTCAAATGTAGTTTTAACAATATTAATTTAATACTTTTAATTTTTTTTTAATATATACCTACTGTTAGTGTATCCCTAGTGTATCTTAAAGGAATTTTAGGTAATAAAAAACTTGTTCTAATTAGACATTAGTAAAATCATAAGTTGACAACGTATATTTGATACCAATTAAACTTTTAGTTATGTAATCGAGGGCGCGATTTTTTAATTCATGGTTGTCAACCAGGCAACATATTTGTCGCCGGGCTGACTAACTGGAATTTAAATTTCGCGCTGGGGATTCAGGTGGTAGCTCTGCTGTAAAAAATGTCAAGTTGACAAATTTATTTATTCATTTCCTGACATTGTCATTCGTTTTGACACTTTAGTTTTGTATTACGAGTTTTTGGTTTAAATAAATAGTATTGTGATACTTTAAGCTTAAAAATGCTTTCTAGCAGACCTTGCAGTCGAACATTGTTCTTTTTAGAACCTCTTTTAGTGCGAAGTGTACAAGATACCTTAATAGCCGTAAAAAACTCATCGCAACTTTATTAGAATATTTTGAACAGGGAAGTGGTAGTAATTATTTTGTGGGCCCTGTATGTCCGTTAAGTGCTGTTAAGGAGGTGAGTTTCGTTGATGTAAATAATAACTGTTTATATATTTATAATTAATTTATTTTTGTTTCCTAAAATATTTTGATTAAAAGAAAATATGTAAAAGTGGGAAACGCTGTGCCGGTCAGGCTTAATCACGTGACTAAAAGTTTATTAATATGAACCTATATCTAAAGAATACGAGGACAATAACGCCCCTATACGGGCTGCAGCAGAATTTGTGATGTTAGACGCCATTTTTTTGGGTGTAACGAATGAGTCATCTGCTGATCATCAGCGAGAATCTTAGCGATTTTTGATAGTTTGTGTGTGGTGAACTATGTATTAACTTTATTACAATGGTGATTAGTTGTTCAACTTTCAAGTATAAAAGCCGCAGCGATAAGAAAGAGCCAGGAGTTTCGTTTCATAGGTAAATAAACAGTCCACTCTAATTTTTAAGCGTTTTCTTAGTGAACTCCATAATTATTTTCCTAATATTATACAGGGTGATCCGAACTGTATTCCGGAAATTTCTGCAACATATTCTGCAGATAAAAATAAGTAAAAAAGTTCCTATAAATGTATGTCCTAAAATGCTTAGTTTCGAAGATACAGGGTGTAGAAATTTCATTCGATTTTTTCCAAATAAATTCTGAAGTAACGTCAATATTTGGATGAAAATTGGTGTATAGGAGTTTTTTGACATGATAAATTTGATTTTGATATCAATATGATTCCTACTTGTAGAAGGCGCCACCTACATATTTTTAATTGGTTTGAAAAGTAATAACTTTTCGCCCGTACCCGTATAAAACTATTGAGTAAAAAAATATACATTCACAATGTTTTTTTCGTAAAAAAGGTCCCTTGGTAAAAATCGCAACGACTAATAGTTCTCGAGATATTTTGAATCGAAATTATCAATACCTGTCATCATTGACATAAATTAAACATGTTGATTAAATAGTTATTAGACTGAAATCATAAATTTGATATGTTTTTGTGCCAAAAGTTCAAGAGAAACTGTTTTATCATCATTTTTTCGAAGAAAAATTTATGATTAATTTAAAAAAATAAAAAGTTCCCATCTACTCAACATGTTTATTTTTTGTCAACAATGACATGTCTTGACTATTCTATTTTAAATATCTTGAGAACGGTTGCTCGTAGCAATTTTTACCAAAAAATATTTTTTAGGTAAAAAAACCACGGAAATGTATATTTTTTTCACACAGTAGTTTCATACATGTACGGACGAAAAGTTATTACTCTTCAAAACAGTTTAAATACATATAGGTGGCGCCCCCCTACAAATAGGAGGCATATTGATATCAAAATCAAATTTCTCAAAAAATATCAAAAAAAACACAGACACCAATTTTCATCCAAATATATTGACATTAGGGACTTCAGAAATTATTTGGAAAAATCGAAATAAAAATAAAACTTCCACACCCTGTATCTCAGAAACTAAGCATTTTAGGACATACATTTATACGAACTTTTTGACTTATTTTTATCTGCAGAATATGCTGCCGAAGATTCCGGGATACAGTTCGGACCACCCTGTATATGTATACTTGATATTAGTAGTGGGAACTATCGAATGAATACTATCGAAACATTCGATAGTTGCAATTCATTCGAATAATTCGATAGTTAGTAAGAAAACATTCGTTGAAAACTATTCGAATAAAAATTATCGAATAGATCCGTCATCTGCCTTGAAATATTGTATTCTAGTAATTCGGCAGCAAAAACCATTCATTTATAAAATTCATTCATTTATAAAATTCATTCATTTATAAAATTCATTCATTTATAAAATTCATTCATTTATGAAATTCATTTATTCGTCAGGATCGATTATAATAAAATATTAACTGAATTTTAGTTGTCGCTCGGCGACGTAGGTTTTTTTCCGAGAAAGCGGTCGGTGGCAATGCTATGAAAGAAGCCGGCATCTTTGATTTTTGCGGAGTCATATATATAGATAAGGACACATTATTTTTTTTTATTGAGGTGCTAGTATTTACACAGAAAATACATTATGAAGGGCGCTGTTGCCATATTTTTGTATTAGTTGATATTACCAAAGAATATTATTGTTTGGCTTTAGTTAGTTAGGGATAGTATGTCTGTATATTCTGCATTTTTTTTTATTAATATTCTGTTGTTACACTGCAATAATACTTGTTATTTTGGATGTAAGAAAATGATTTTTAATGTTTTTAAGCAAAGACTGGTTTAATAAATAATAATAACAGCAATAATTTGTTATACCTATTAACAACAAAATTTAAAATGATTTAATATAAATATTTTTTTTAGTAGTAGCAAAATATAAACAACAAATTAGATGTCAAAATTATTTATATTAGATCCTATTTAAAAATAATATAGTCTCTAATTTTTTTGGCAACGTTGGTTTATTAAATAATAATAATTACAGAACTAATTTGTTATATTAACAACAAATTTTAAAATCATGAAATATAAACATTTATTAATTTTCTAAGCATGCAGTGTAATGGAAGGAAAATATAAATAAAAAATTAGAAATCAAAATTACTTATATTAGGTGCTTTATATTACTATTTAAAAATTATATTTACTTTTACTGGCATTTACTTTAAAAAATAAATGAAATATTTTTTCTTCGCAAAAAACTACATGTAAGAGAATTAGCATAAACAAAATATAAACATCGTTAACTTTTTTTTTGAATTAGCACGTGTAAAACTTTCATTTTAATTTTCTCACCCCATAGTTTGAGTTCGATAACCATTTACTTAAATATGATTATACAACCACATTACTTAAATATGATTATTAAGTTCAACTAATTCATATTATTAAAACATCTAAAATACAAACATGTATTTTTAAAATTAATTGTAAGTTCATCTCATCTCTCTTAAAAATTGCTACTTCTCAAAATTTCCCATTAAAAAATAGACCATATACCATATAAAATGAAATAATTGAAAGATCGGACTACGGAAAACCACACAAATTATCGGAAAAATTTTGACCACCTGCACATGCACACAATCGTCAATAAATAAAATTAAAAAATAACTACTATTTTAGTATTTTAACTATTTTAATAAACGCAAAAAATAGCACAGTATTTATACGGCGAAGTTATAAAATTTGGAAGAACCAATAATGCACTGACGCATACAAAATCCAAACGAATACTAAATTTCATTTATCAAAAGCATTCGATAGTCGTGGCTCAACGATAACCATTTAGTCGCACGGCGAAGTTGTCACATATGCTTTAGTTTACAAATGAATGAATGATTTTATTCGAATAAAACCATTCGATAGTTGAAATCATTCATTCATTAACCATTCGATAGTCTAATTCATTCAATAGTTTTTTTCGTAATTAATTAGTATGATATCACCGCATACACCATAGGCGTAGTCAAAACATTTATCAAAAATAGAAATATTTCTTCAAGCAGCTAACTTAAAAAAATATGTGCCATGGCACTGTTTGGAAGAATGGTAACAATTTGATCTCGGATGTTATAAGTCCTTGTATTATTTAGTCATTGATATGAACTGTAAGTAGGCATTTGCCTCTTTTTACATTGTTGCCTGTTCAGTTTCAATTTATTTGTTTTTCAGTTTTCACCTAGATCAATAAATGAAAACATCCCACCATGAGGACTTTATGTATGACACTGTATAATGTTAAAAAAATGGATGCTTCGTCAGGCGTAAATAAAATGTTCATTTCTAACTTACCTCTAGCAGATAATTTTTTCGTATTAATAATTTTTGCGGCAAATTCCAGCCCTGTAGATTTCTGGACGCATCTTCTGACCACCGAGAATGCACCCCTGGAAATGAAACATACATTTTAGTTATGGCTTGCCTTTTTCACCTTGCCATTAAAGTAAAGTACCGGTATATATACATATGACGCAACTATAAATTCTGCTCCTAAAGGAAATATTTCATCGTTTTAAAAGTAGGTCTTTCGCAAGAAAAGTTATATTTTTATAAATATGATAAAACGGCCGAGTTATTACTTTTTTAAATTATTTAACTTGTACGTATATTCAAACAAATAAAAAATGTTTTATTATTTGTATACCGGGTGAGTCTCAAAAATTACTCACCCCTATAACTTTTTTATATTTTCAGTTAAAAAAACGAGATTTGGTATGTTAGTATATGACATAAATTAGGATTGATTGGTATATTCAATTGATTTTGGTCACTTCCTGTTTCACCGGAAATGACTACAACTTTTGATTTTTAAATGGCACCCCCGTATTTTTTTTACTTTATTCGATAGAAAATAACACTCTGAATAGAATTACATATAATACGTCAACTTTGACATTTTCCAACATGGTATATTTGAAATTATAACATGCGGTTCATAACGAAAATTTGACTCGAAATACCAAGTGTGTGGTATCAAATTATTCGTAAAAAAATGCCTTTTCCAAATATGCTAATGAGCCATCCTCGTTCCATTTGAAAAAATTGAGATATGATTAAAAATACGATTTGGGCATCTTTTAACCGATCAGAAAAAAACACTAAAAACATTAGACAATCAAATCTATTTTTCCAAAACCCCTTGATTAAAAATTAGTGTTTTTAACATAGCCATGGTACTCTAGAAATTTAAAATACGATTTTTCATTAAGCGAGAATGTCAAAAGTTGACGTATGATATGTCATTCTATTCAGAATAAAGTAAAAAATTAAAAAAAATTATTATTATTAATTTAAAAATCAAAAGTGGTAGTCATTTCCGGTGAAACAGGAAGTGACCAAAAACAATTGAATACGTCAATCAATTGTAATTTATGTCATATACTAACATACCAAATCTAGTTTTTTTTATATGAAAAAATAAAAATAATTATAGGGGTGAACCACTTTTGAGACGCACCCGGTATAGTAAAATATAAATAAATCTGTAAAAAATATAAGTGAAATATAATTTAAATATCATATTTCACTCTAAACGATTTTCATTTTGCTCTATATTTCAAGTAAATCCGATTTTATAAATTTCCTTCGGTCGTCAACACCTCAATACAAATTGAAAATGATTTAGAAGCTAAAATTCAGATGCATTTGAAAGTGTAAAAGATTAGAATTGAAAATAAACCGACGTAATGACGGAAATCGATATAGAGATAGGTGGAAAATCAATGGAAAGTAATTTCGATGGGAGTACTTTACCGATGACCGCCAAAATTAACATTTAATTGCATCCCGATCTCATTAATTCAAGCAACGTTCTGATTGCACTAGTGACAATTTAATAAAACCCTTAACTTTGTTTCCAATTGAGAAAAAACTGATACAGACTAAAAAAATATAGATTTGCATTAGAATAGAGGTCGAAAAGTCTGTATATGGAACAAATTATAAAAAATTAATACGTAGTCGCCTATTGGTGATCTAAATTTAAAAAATCAATGACTTTTTTGTTCGTCTTTTTTTCAGATGCCATTCAGAAAACGACAAAAGTCGATATTATGATATGTCATTCTATTTAGAGTGTCATTTTCTATCGAATAAAATAATAGAAATATCGAGGGTGTCATTAAAAATCAAAAGTTGTTGTTATTTACGGTGAAACAGCATTCAATACAAATCAAATGAATACGTGTATCAATCCTGATTTATGTCATATATACTAACGTACCAATTCTCGTTTCTTTATCTGAAAAAATAAAAAAGTTATAGCCATCTAAAAACATAGATCTTTGAGATCTTCTGAGAATGGAAGAATTATTTTAACTGAGAACCGTAGAAAGAGTAGGTATGTGTTATTGCAGCATATTATAAAGTTTTAATACCTATACTAAAAAAACTTCAAAACTAAACAACTGATTTTTATTAATTTTTTTAACTGTTAAACTATAGGTACATACACAGACAATTATACAGGATGCTACAAATTCAAGGTACGAGCATTGGTATCTCGGTAACCGTAATAGATATACGAACATGATTAAATTGCACAAATGGGGCAAAGTTATGCTTTGGGATGTTCACCAAGATGTCATCAAAAAAGTTTTAAACATTTCAAGGATTGCTGAGTTTTTTGGAAAAACGGATTTTTTTTTGAAAATCAATTTTATTTTTTCATAACGTTTTAGAAAATCAAAAAACTAATAGCACTTTCTCATGGCCACTTTATTAGGGCTATTTGATAGTATTTTTAGAATTTAATAATAATTTAGCTGATAATTTATGAGATATAGAGGCCAACTTAATTTTTTTAAATACAGACCTGCATTTTTTATTTCAAGTTTTGAAAGAACTCGGTCTCCTGAGTACAATGATATGCCACACTTTATACTTTTTTTGTTTTGGGTACCTTAACCACAACAAAACTATTTAATTATTATTTAAATTAATTTCAAATCCGACTCAGGTTTTTCAAATAATTTAATCTGATTATATTCATCGCAACAATATCAGCGCTAATTAACACTGAAGAAGGAAAATCGAGCAAATTAGAAGATTCAAATAAATAATATCCAGGTCAGCAATTTAAGGATATTATTTTTAACTTTTTTATTGCGAATTTGAATTTCGTAGTTACTATAAATAAGTCAACTTCTACAAATTAGTTTCTAATGCTCTACATGTTCGAAAGGATTACCACCCTTCCTATTGCACAAATTTATTTTTCGTCCAATTTTATTTATAGCTCTTTGAACTTTTTTCTTATACTTCCGAATGCATTTTGTACTCTTTATAGTAAATGTTGAGATGTATTGATTTCATTTTTACAAACGACGTCAAGTAGTGTCCCCCCCCCCTCACCCCTTGGCGACAGGTCCAGGAATCTCGCTGGCTAATATACTGCTCTACCATTTCCAATCCATCTTCCGGGGAATGATTCGATTTTTTATGTTATATTATATTTATATTATTTATTTTATATTATTTTTTATTATTTTATTGTATTTGATTTTTCAAATTTGAGGTTTTACGCCACGCCATTGTTAAGTTTGAAAGCTTATCAATATTGTAACGATGAATAGATTAAATATTAAAAAAAAACAGGACCGGACTTGAAATTAGTTTAAATAAATTGTTTAAATGTCAAAAATAAACAAAATATATACATTGTACTCAGGAGACCGAGTTCTTTCAAAATCTGTAATAAAAAATGCAGGTCCGTATTTAAAAAAATTAAGTTGGCCTCTGTATCTCATAAATTATCAGTCAATTTGAAAATCTAAAAATACCAACAGATAGCCCTAATAAAGTGGCTATGAGGAAGTGCAATCGCAGTTTCAATTGCGATTGGAATATCGCAGTTTAGCTCATCTCTAAATCCTAGTATATTGAAAAATAGTTCGTACAGATCGTACAAATATTATAATTTATAAATATATTACCGGAAGGAAATGGAATAAGTATATAGTAGTAAATATAAACCAAAACGCTTCTGGTGGATGTTCAAGAAACTCATTATAGATAACGTGGAAAGTCGCAGTAAATCGTGTTCCCCTCAAATAAAACTGGGGAGACCAACAAACCATAGATATTCATGCGCAACCTGTAGCGTTCCAAAATCAACAAGCATAGGGTAGTCGACGCACTAAGCGAAAAAAGTCACGTTCCTATATTTCCCTTCTGACCCAACGAGTTTCCCTTATCCACCCCAATTTTACTGCGTCCAATCAAAATCTCTTCTAACGGAAAAAAACATCCGGAAATTTCAGCGAGCCCGTTATTGATAGCCAATTTTTTATCGTCCTGATTTTCTACAGCTAAACCGAGATAGCGGCAGTTTTGGTTTATGCTGCTGCTGGATTTATATGCGCATATTAAACGATTCAACAAAAATATGTTTTTAGTATCCGAAAAAAAAATACAATATTTTGTTAAAGTTATATTGAGAATATATTTCCGGTTTGAAAATTAATAAGTCATAAGATACTATCATCGATAGTTCATTTAAGGCTAAACACCTACATAGAGCGTACTCTAAGGCCTTAAACGCACTGACGACCAGGTCGCAGCAACCAGCATTTGATTTAATGTTAGTACTGGTCGGAGCTGCGACGAAACTTTACAATAATATAGCTTATACATCATAATAACATACAGTGATGGGATAACTCAGTATGAGTACTCGGTTATTGAAATAACCGACATCGCTCGATTATGAACGAGCGATGGAAGTGACGAGTTACAAGCGACGAACGCAAGCGATCCTAGAATGAAGTAAATTGAAATCCGATTTTAATGTGACATACTTGATAAAAAGCCGAGCGAATTTTCTACATACATTGCATATCCGTTGCGTATCTGAGGGATAAAATTTTACGACCTACATCGACAATGCTTTGAAATAAACTAAATCAAGCGATCAAGCGAGTCGCTCGTCGCTTGCTACTTGCCATTCATCACCGAAAGAATATGTGCCCTGCGCACGCAACGCAACTTACTGCTTGGCGCTTGGCGCTTGGCGTTAACGAGTACTTACAACAAGCGACGGGCGAACTTAACGTTACACGCGTTTCATTATGATGTTAGTATCGAACTTGTGTCATTAATAACTATTAGGTCAGATGAGACTAAAACCACACAAAATAAAACGGTTAATTTTCAGAACAACTACAAACGCAAAAATAACCGTAATTAAACCGTACTGTAAGCACCGTAATAACAAGGCCGGACAGCTGTGACGTAAAAATCTTGTGACGTCACCAACTGGAGGCCTAACTCTATTTAGCAGCGTTGATAATTACCCGATAAAAGTTCAAATTGTGGATCTTTTTTCACTCAGCAGATATATTTCGAAGTTTTAAAATGTCTTTTTCCGAGTTTTTAAAAATATTATAGT